TACCTAAATACAAGGCCGTCATCCCATCAGAACTTGAGAAACAAGCTCATTTCCGATTCACTATTATTTTTTTTCCTAACAAAATTAAAATTATTTCAATTGAGATTAAAATTATTTCATTTTTTAAAGTTATTATATATTACTAATTTATAGTATTTTAACTAATTATAATTCATTTATATTATTATAACTTCTTCACTGCGTAATCCAAAGTTATCTTAACATAATTTATACCTTTATAACTTCACCACTGGGTAGTCCTGAGTAATCCTAACATAATTTGTATCATTATAACTTCACCACTGCGTAATATTGTGCAAAAGCAATATTATTTATACTATCATAACTTCGCCAATGCGTAATCCTGAGAAATCCTAACATAATTTGTAGCATTATAACTTCTCCACTGCGTAATACTGAGCAATAGCAATATTATTTATACTGTCATAACTTCGCCACTGAGTAATCTTGAGTAATCCTAGCATTATTTATGTCATCATAGCTTCACCACTGCGTAATACTGAGCAATAGCAATTTTATTTATACTATCATAACTTCGCCACTGCGTAATCCTGAGTAATCCTAACATAATTTGTATCATTATAACATCTCCACTGCGTAATACTGAGCAATAGCAATATTATTTATACTATCATAGCTTCGCCACTGAGTAATCCTGAGTAACCCTAACATTATTTATGTCATCATAACTTCGCCACTGCGTAATACTGAGCAATAGCAATATTATTTATCCTATCATAACTTTGACACTGCCTAATCCTGAGTAATCCTAACATAATTTGTATCATCATAACTTCACCACTGCGTAATACTGAGCAATAGCAATATTATTTATACTATCATAACTTCGTCACTGCCTTATCCTGAGTAATCCTAACTTAATTTGTATCATCATAACTTCGCCACTGCGTAATACTGAGCAATAGCAATATTATTTATACTATCATAACTTCGCCACTGCGTAATCCTGAGTTATCCTAACATAATTTGTAGCATTATAAATTCTCCACTGCGTAATACTGAGCAATATTATTTAGACTGTCATAATTTCGCCACTGAATAATCCTAACATTATTTATGTCATCATAACTTCGCCACTGCGTAATACTGAGCAATAGCAGTATTATTTATACTATCATAAATTCGCCACTGAGTAATCCTAACATTATTTATGTCATCATAACTACGCCACTGCATAATACTGAGCAATAGCAATATTATTTATACTATCATAACTTCGTCACTGCCTAATCCTGAGTAATCCTAACTTAATTTGTATCATCATAACTTCACCACTGCGTAATACTGAGCAATAGCAATATTATTTATACTATCATAACTTCGCCACTGAGTAATCCTAACTTTATTTATGTCATCATAACTTCGCCACTGCGTAATCCTAACTTACTTTATATCATTATAACTTCCCCACTCTGAGTAATCCTAACATAATTTATGACATCGTAACTTTGCCACTGCGTAATCCTGAGTAATCCAACATAATTTGTGACATTATAACTTTTCCGCCGTGAGTACTCCTAACATAATTTATATCATTATAATTTCTCCACCCTGAGTAATCATGAGTGTTCTTAGCATAATTTGTCTGCCTTTCAATATTTAGGAAATCATATATGCAGCATTTGAAACTGAATTGTTTACTAAGTTTAACTGAACGCACTTTGACCGTACCTTAAATTTGAAATTATTTATGTAGGTAAGTCACACAGAATTCGCAATGGAGGGTTTCTCCGACTGTATAAAATCCTCGTAAGCTTCAATTGAATTCAAGGTGGGGACAAGAAACTCATCCAACTTCAGATCAAGGGACAAAAGCTTATTTGGGAAATAAAGGAGGCTGATGTCAAATATTAACCGAATTGCCACAGCCATGCCATACGTCATAGAATTGTAAAATCTTAACCTCCATACCCCCTTGGTCGAGAACTGACTTACTGTTGCATAATTAGTTTCAGTAAGTTTTTTTTTTTAATTATTTACTTTATTTATTATTTTTTATTTATTCTATTTCGCTTTATTTCTTCATTTTATTTTATTTATTTTTGTAGTAATGCAGAAATGTCTGAAAATTATGAAAACGGTTGCATATCTTCAGAAATATACATTTAAATAAAATTTTAGAAGCACTAATGTGATATATAATATTATGTGATATATATGATAGATAATGTAATAAAAGAGAGAGATGGTGCCTAGGTATTCAAGACTGCCAAATTTATTCATCTGAGCTGTTGACCTGGAGTTGATATCATAAAAAAATACGTAAAGGAAAATAATATATCTGTAAAATATTTTACAGAAACTTACGAAATAATAATAACAGCAATATGTTTTCAAAAAATATAACTTTGAACTCTACAAATGACGAAAATTCATTTTTCTATAACTTATTTTTTCTAACAACAGAAAAAAAGTAGCGATGTTTTAAAAAGTAACTTTTTAAAAAATACGAAAAAGAAATGAAAAACGAATATTTGAAAATAAGTTCTGTCTAAAAATATACTCTAAAAATTATACATCTATTAAAACGAAAATGTTAGTGCTGCCATCTTTTATTTTTGACTATTACTATAGAACGAGTTGAAAAAAGAAACAGTGAATATGTTTATTTCTTCTAGTTTAACGTCAAAATAAGAAGGGTCGCGTATTGAAAAAAAAAAAAATTTCATTTTTCTGATTTTTTTTAATTATTAGTATTTAAAAACTAAAAATCTTGATCTGCTTACATAAAACAAAGAAATTAATATTCAAAGCATAGAAATTTATTTATTTTTAATTAAAAAAATTATATCTATTATGAAACTATTTCCCATAATATTTTTTATCATAGGAAATTAATAAATTTTATTACTGTTACACCTAGAATTTCTTTTGAACACATTTTCACACGAAAAATAGATGTCGTACTTTCCAAAATTGTCCGTAAGTAATCCTCAAAATGTCAATAAAATATTTTTTTTAAGAAAAAAATAATTAATTTTGTTGAAAACATACAAAATTATGAAACGTCCAATTATCAGATGATCTTCTAAAACGAGTAGATGTTCTCTCCAAATCGGAAGATGTGCTGCAGATGATAAGACATCTCAATGGGAAGTTCCCAGGTTTTATTTCATTTTTTAAAGCCTTTATAATTATGCAGAAATGTTATTTTTAAGCTATTTATCAAACAATTATATTTTATTTTATTTTATTAACGTCGTTGAACAACTGACCCAATTTTGAGTTTACGACCAAATGTTCAACTCCATAGCCTTGTAATTTTGAACCTGATTCAAAAGACAAAGGAACTCCTGGATCAGGCATTGGGAGAAATTTGCCTTCGTGGAAAACTTTTTGACAGAAGTAACCCATATTTGCGTTATACGGAGAGGAAAACCACGAAAACCTTCCACGGTTATTCCGACTACAAGGGGATTCTAGCGCATGATTCTTCTACCACCGATGTTATTTACGTCAGCACTGCAGTCGTTGCGAGCCAGGTGTGGAATTTGAATCAACTAGCCATCGCTAGATTTCACCCCGGCTCATTGGGAGGTGAGGGCTTTATCCCCTGAGGCACTACGGCTCAAGCAATTATATTATGAAGTAACAGAAAATCCAATTTATTCGAAATATTTTAAATTTTGTGCTAAAATTTTAAATTTAATTAAATCTATTAAATCCATTTTTATGTTTAATCCATTTTATAAAATTTTGAGTAGAATGTTCTTCAGAAATCTTTTGTGTTTTCCTTTTGTCTTCCAAAATAATGACCTCTAAAACTTTCTGAATAATTTTTTTTTTCCAAATTTTTAATTTTACCTTTTATTCCAAATACGAATTCACTTTTTATTTCAAATATGAGTTGTTTTTTTCGCTTGTGAACTCTTTATTTTTTTTCGTTTCATTTTCTACATTGCTTCTTACTAAAATTTTGAAAATAAGAGGAATTTAGACGCTTACGTAAGCATTGCTCATGTTCTTTCTCTCTCTCCCCTGTCAACAAAAATAAACAAATCACAAGCCCCTTTTCCCCGTTAGGTGCTTACGTTATTGGCGATCAAAACGAGCTGTAATTGACATATAACAGAACTCTCTACTTATGGCTACACTTCGCATGCTTTCATCATTAGCGTGTGAAGAGTCATAGAAGAAGTAAGTACATTAGTTTTCATCTTGATTTTCAAATAGATTAAAAAAAAATTTAGTTAGGATACTATGTGAAACTGAAATCTATATTGAACATAGCTCTAAAAAAAGTCAAAAAAGCTAGACTTCGGTGATCTGCTGGGAACCGTGTCTTAACGATCAGTCTGTGGGGAGAGTTGTTTTCGACCATATCAAACTTCATCTATGAAAAGGTACCCTGACATAGAGTTGAGTTAACATGTCTGATATACTAGTGAATTGTAGTTGTAATTTTGTAGTGGTCGTTACGTTGCAGTACTCCCCCACCAGAATTATAATCTGTGATAGAATTCGATGAATGGATACCACTAGTTGAATCATTGCTGTTTTTTGTGCGTAGCCGGGAGAGCTGTATTAAGATCACCGTACTTTTTGAGTGCTGAATGTGAGAGGTGTATTAACTTCACGATCGTAGTCGCTCCTGTGTTGCCGTTAGCAGTCGAGTGTATGCAAGCCGACGTGTGTGATCGAGACTGAGTAGCAACAGCTTGAGGAGGTGAAAGCGGGGGTGCCATGCCCTCTGCAGAGGATCAAAATTGTGATGGTGAAGTGTAATGAATGGTTTAAAGAATAAACACATTAAAATTATTAGATGAGTGATGTCACGTCGCTTCATTGGCATGTCTTCGTATCGTCCTCAGGGATGTTTCCCAGACAATCGACAATAGCCCATTGTGTAGCTCTAGAGCGACGTAAATGAACTACAGCTACAACAATTCTCGGACCAAACCCCAATCTCTTTACAAATTGTTTCTAGCCACAAACCGTTTCTGACATTTTACAGGAATTTTCTGCTATCTCTCTAGCCTCAACCATAAATCTCAGTCATGAAATACAGAGCTATAAGCTAACGCAGAAAGCTCGTCACAACAAACAGTGTTAAAAATGGACCACTTCAAGCAGATATGAAAAACCGGGAGATCCCTAAACTGCGAAAATAAGTACGAAATTTAATTTTTTTTACCGTTCAGGAACAAGCAATGAGTACGTTACTAAAGTAACCCCCACATTAGCAATTATAAACCACTCTTTAAACTCAACAAAGCCTTAATAATGAAAAATTTTGGTATTAAAAATTACTTATACTACTTGTTCTCAGTAATTAATGCTGGTGCTGAATTTAATTATTAATTTTGGGATAAATTTCTTTTCTTTTTGAGCTTTATTAATCTTCTATTTAAATTTTATTTGGTCAATATTGTGAATAATTGCGTTATGTAAATTAATATCAGTTTATTGATATTTACTTTCTGGTTTATCCCATTTTGCTAATATTCGCAACAATTATTACTTGAATAAAATACTCTGCTATAATTTTATTAAAATAAAGTAACTAAATGAAACGGGAGATTTCTGTATCGTGATCTACTGAAAGATGCAAGCCACTCAGTGGCGTATTGTAGAAGATAAATCACTCCGGCCAAAACAGTTAAAAATAGCGCGCCATTGCTACACATCTGGATCTTCTGCGACACAACAGTTTTCTCTTAGCAATTAAAGACTCGTTCTGCTTAATAATTTCTACATTTGAAATATAAGTAAATAATATTTCACTTGAAGTTTTCTTAGATGTATAATGTCAAAAAGTGCATTTTCTGAAAATGCGAGTTCAGCAATCAATATAACTTCTGTTTTTTGTAATGAAAATAAAAGATAAATGTTTACTTTCTGTAAGCATCACTAGACAATAGCACCAGTTACTATAGTTAATAGCTTCATAAAGTTTTTAACCCATTGCAATCAAAGATATCTATCTATTATAATATAAAATTTTCTTTTTCATTAAGTGGGTTCCTTTTCCTCCTTTTTTCATGAAAAAAAAGTAAAAACTATTTTAATGACATGTGAATAGTATAGCGAACTAGTTTTGTGCATTTTATTCTTGAAAGATACTAGATAGCAGCAGTATAAAGAGAAGGCGAGCTTTATATGCTTCTTTAAAGGGGGGATGTTTCATATTTTCATGTGTCGCGTCAATTGCAATCACCGAGGTGTCAAATAGATTTTTAACTTGCAGTTTGTTTGTTTTTAAAAATATGTGTATGTTTGCCTTGGGGTGGCTATAAGTTGTACCTTTCAAGTTGGTTTCTTTCTGTGATGTTTTTTTTTTTAGTTTCACTCTGGCAGCTGCCAACACTTAGCGATTATTCTGCCACAGATCACGATACGGAAATCTCCCCCTTTGAAGCCACAATATTAAAAAAATTATGTAGGTACTAGATGCAAAATTATCTGTGATTTAAAAGAAATATTCACAAACAATTAAGTTAATATATTTGGAAATTTTGGTTTAAGTATTCTATTGATATAGGGTTCCCAATAGGTCACTGGCTGGATAGATGACCATTTTGATCAGCCTGTGAAGGGACTCAGGGTGTGCGGTATCGGCCCTCGTTGCACTGTTCTGCCGTTAAGCTACTATAGCGGGAGACCCATTTCCTCTGCGAATTTTTTATTTTTTTTTGATGGCATGTCTTCGTATCATCCTTAGGGATGTAACGAAGTTTCAGCAGGAATGTAACGAATATTTGGTATTCAGTTTGGTATTTGTTGCCGAACATTCAGTTGGCCAAATATTCACCCACGTATTATTTGCTAAATTATTTTTCGCAAAAAATTTATCTGCCCTTGTGATTTTGCATTATTGAACAAAAAATGTTTTCTTAACTTCAGCTCATCAATGTAATAAAAAACTATGCACAGTACCTGTCATTTGGTACTAAAAATGATGCTATTGACTACAGGCAGCTCAATATTGTTAAAATGTACCACAATTGCAATTGAGCCATTTTCTTATTTTTAACTTTAGTTCATGACTTAATTTTTAATTTTAATTACTGTTGATTTTCAGGGGTCTGTCCAGGCCAAATTTACTACCGTTTAGCGGTACCTTCACAAATTCAACTTTAGAAAAAACAATAGTTTCATAAAATACTTTTTCTTAAAATTTTATTTTTGTATCCCTTAAGAAACGATAAATCCATATTTTTGTGTTAATTTTTTAATATAATTTTTAATTTTTCACAAAATAGGTACCCCTCAGAAAAACCTAGACAGACACCTGATTTTATAGTTTTATTTAATAAAGCTATTAAAGCGCAACTATAAACTCCTGATTTCAGAACTGATAATTTAGTGATGTCACCTCTTCTTGATTTCTCCTAGGCTAACATAATGTAATTTATTGATTTAAAATTAAGACTGTACAATAAAAGTATTATATAGTAATCTGCTTTCTTGTTGGACTTTCCCTTCAATAACTGTCTAACTTATTGTGTGTGTAAGGGATGTGTCATGACTAGGACTGGGCTATAAAACGATATAGTGCGACATATCGATTTAACGCCTGTATTGCCAGGCCGATACAGCGACTTTCGTTCCAGGCGATGCATCAGAAATATGATTTAAGCCGTTGAGTAATGAAGACGAATGATATAGCGATACAAGACACGCAAGGATCTCTTACTTTCCGATGCCAACTCGCGCTGGGGAAGACGATGTATGTATCGTTATATTGAAACGGCCTTGATTGATGAGCGGTAGAATCAGATTCAGTTTTGAGAACATATATCATGATCTCGCATGTTCGTTTCCGCACCTCTTAGCTTTTTTTTCTCCTTTGTCGCGACTTCATATCGTTTCTGGTAGATTATTTTCAGTGGGACTGAATTTGTGATCACCGTCGTTACCTTGTTCGGAACGTAATCTATTATTGAAAGGAATAAATATATAAAGAAGTGTTTCTTAATTAGGTAAATTTTTTTTGAAACAAAACTTTCTTTTTTATTTTTAAATGTAAAAATTAATTTTGATATTATATGTTTAAGTATTATCTTACATTATTGAATTTATTACAAGCGGAAATATAATTTAAGGTGCCCATATAGAATTATATTAAAAATTAAATTTGTTATGCTATTTTTTACTTTATTTTCATTTATTAAAAACTTTTTGGATAAAATAATAATTTAATGGGTTTTTTATTACTGATTTTAAATTTATAAATCTTTAGTTGTTTTCATTTTTATAAATAAAATTATAGCAAAACTTATTTTTCCTCTTTTGGATTTGGATATAAGTCAATCAACTTTGTTTATTCAAAAAAATTAGTAATGTATGCGATTGCAACTTCTTTTTTTAAAATCATTTAGCACTTCGTTTCATTAAAGAGTATAATCGTGTTTTTTAATTTTCTTTCAATATTGTCAGTTGAATATATTATCGAATATCATAATTCTTTTGTTTTTATTTTTAAGAAATTAAACCTTACTTTCTTTTTCGTTCATAATTCGGTAATTATTCAATTTAACTTTATTATTAATGTGAAATAATAATGATAAAAAATAGTGTTGTTTTAAAAGTGTTTTTTTTTTGTTTAATTTATTTAGCACTTTGTTTTAAGCATACAAATAATTTTTAACGAGCTTATTTTTTAAATTTTCTTTCTATATTGTTAGGTAAATGTATTGATAAATTTCAATTTAACTTATTTTTTTATTATTTATTTTTAGACTAAGAAATCTTTCGTTATTTGCGCGATCATTTTTAGAAAATATAACATTCATATCTTTCTTAAGCAAAACATCAAATATATACTTCATATACATCAAATTCATAAACTGATTTAAATCAATCTGAGTATGAAGTTTTGATAGAAATCCGCCTTACAAGTAAATGAATTTCAAAAATACTATATCGCGATGCAAAACTGGCGATGCATCACAATATAAAATTTCTTATATCGCCCAGTCCTAGTCATGACCTTCAACTGAAGGTCAGTGAGATGGAGAAATTTAGGAATTTGAGGATCTGTGAGAATTTTTTGCATACATTAAAAAAGGCCATTCATCGTGGAGCTTGTTACCCTTTATTGTTTGAACACCAGATGTAGACAATATCGCTTGCTTTTAATGTTTTTATTTTTGTTCTTAATTTTTGTTTTTACTCCTTTAATTTCCGTACAGCTTTTATTTTATTTCGTTGATTGTACTGTTGATGTATTTTATTTGTCTGATTTCCTCGTTTTTATGGACTTCATCCATTTTTAGATTAATTTATTCCATGTTTATTACGTTTTTTATTGCTATTTTTCTGTATTTTGCACTGAAGATGATGCTCCAAGGTAGCATTTAAAGGTGTCTGCAATTTTAGCTACTAAAGCCCTTTGATTTATGACTTTTATTGTTAGCTTTTATCGTAAGAACTAGTCTTATTATTATAACAGTTATTTTTTCAATTTATTCATTATTAATTCACCTATATTAATAATGTTATATTTATTTTTCAGAGAGTAAAATAATGGTAAAAAATGTTTGGAATGTCAGATTCTAATGGCTTCTGCAAAAAATCATTGAAATGCCGAAAATCAATGTCTTTTAAGGAGAAGAATTTTGCAACATCTTCAAATTCTCTAAATTTTGTTTCAAGCTCTAATGTTATAGCGAGTGATGATGAAGCAGTCAGTACATATACAGAAAGTGAGTATTATTTCCTTGTGGAATTTTTTTTAAATATCATAATAAGATGCAGTTTATATATATTTTTTAAAATTATTGTGCTTACTTTAAAGGTATGGAAAAAGTATTACTTTATAGATTTATATTTAATTTAATCAAATGAATAAAGTCATTATTTTCTTAAATAATATTTTTATTGCAATAATATATCTCTCGTATGCTGAATCTATAACCTAAAGTCAGCAGTACTTTATATTTAAATTTTAAGGTAACATTTTGCTAATCATTCTACATTTTAAAATTTTATTCAATCATTATTTTGTAGCATCTTTTTAAGTATGATTTCTAGCTATTATTTAAATTTTGATAGTTCATGTTGGTTTGTAAAGAATACATTTTCAGCATAATTTAATATTTGACAAACATAAAGAAAATAGATTTGTTTAAGCAATTTAATTTGTATCACTGATTCTAACCATGGTTTTTATTGTGATTTAAATCCTAATAGAATGTATTATTCAAATTTAGAATATAAATTTTTTTATCAACTACTCTTATCTTTTTAGATTATAATTTATTGAGAGAGATTTGCTGTCAATTTATTTATACCAATGCTTGTTGTTGTATTTCTTTCAGGCCCTACAATTATGGGAAAGAGGACAAGTAAAGAGTCAAAATCAGAAAGTAAACTTAAGCCAAGGAAAAAATTCAAAAATAAAGAAGTATGTGTTTAGTTCAATTCTTTAATAAAATAAGTATTTGGGCAATTCCACGATTTTGTGTTGAATGTAACACATTGAAACATAGAATTGAAAAATGATATACTTATAATTCTATAAACATTTTTAGATTATTTATGCAGGACATTTAACATAAGATTGGTGCAGGTTAAATCTGTCAGGTCACAAAATCCTCTATGTCCCCATAACAAATCAAGACCTCTGGGGGTACTGAATTGAAGATTGATTGTTCTCTACTTAAGGTCAAACTTACAATCTGTGGATGGATGAATGTGCCGCTTTATAAACGAGTTGTGACGTATGTATGTGGCAGAAGTCAAATTTTTTGGCCATAGATGGAGCCACTGGAAAAAGAGAAGCGGATGCCATTTTGTTTAATGGCATATGACAACAACAACATTTAACATAAGATTCGTCACTGAAGAGCTCTCGTGGTTGATGTGTCAACCAGACTTCAGTAAACGATGAACTTTGGAAGATAACCCAAAAAGTAGAAGATAACCCAAACTTTGAAAAATAAGGCTTTGCATTCATTATTGGAATTTGTGCTACACTCATTAAACTTACCTACTAAACATGGCGCTGTATATCTAGATAAAATCAATATTTATTCTTTAAAATGATTTTTAAATACAAATACTTTAAACTCACTGCTAACTTTGTTTTCAGAAAAGAAAAAAAAAAAAAACTAAAAAGCATCTAATTTTTGTTTTGCTTTAGAAATTGTAAAGTAAAACTAATTTATGGAGAATTCTGTTAATCTTCTACGTTAATTTGAAATTAAACTTTAAAAAAATAATATTAACAATAGAAAATTTTTTAAGTTGTACCTTTAAAGGAATTATATTCATGAAAAATTTTATTCATGAATCTATGTAAAAATTATCTTATTTATCCATTTTTTTAATTCTCTGTCAGAAAAATAATATATTAAGTGCTCTCACAAATACTAGTATCTGCTGTGATGATGAGTGATATAATGTATGTGAACAGTAACAAATGTTGAAATATAGTACTTGTGTTGTCAAAGTATTGACGAAGAAGTAAGATAACATTAATCACTGAGGGTGTTATACACATGAAAACATTTACCTGGGGCTCAGATGTAACAGTTGACTGTTAGCCTGGAACAATAAAATTTGACTCAGACCGCAACAAAACCAGTGTTCCTGGTGACCAGCAATCAGTGTTATACAATGGTCCGCTTTTTTTTCTGTTTTAGTTTGTGTTTTTGTCAGAACATAGTTTATTTCATTATAACTGTGAACACTACATATTCTCTGTATTCTGATTTTTCATTTTAAGTCACTTTATTAACTTACTTTTTTATTTAAATAAATTAATAGAGCCTTGTAAATAGACAAGTAAAAATGTGTGCTTTCTTTTAGTAGCTAGTCCTTTGTATCAGTGGCTATTTTTTTTTTTAAATCTACCCTTGTTTACTTGTCAAAATGCTATCAATGCACTTGAATGAAATTACTCAAGGTTTACCAATAATATAAAATTAATGACAAATAAGAAGTTATGTTTTTATACTAAGCTGTATTTTAAACATTCAGAATATGACATAAACATTCGAAGAAGTGCTGGTAAACGCAAGTAATGTTCGAAATATTTTAGAAGAAAATTTTTCAGTCCAGAACTTTTACGAAACTAATGTAGGTCCAAGGATTGATTCTTCAATTCAAAGATTTAAGTTAAAGTTGTAGATCCTTTTATGTCTTAGCTCAATAAAGTTCTCTAGCATTTGGAGGTACATACTAAACCGAGGAAACAAAAACTTGGAAAATTCCTATGTCTTACCTGGAAAATAACCAGTCTTAGAATTCTCAGTAACAATAACCAGCTACTGAGATTTGAGTAGTTAAATAGTTCTAACATTTATTATAATTATTTCTTGTAAAAACTTCTCATTTTAGTTAAACTGACTCCTCATTCAATTATATATTTTTTTCTCAAAAATCTTATATTTGGCATTTCAAGTTTAAAAAAAAAAAAAAAAGTTTTCTGATGAAATTATTGTATGGTATACATGAATTATGGTCTAGATTTTTCTTGATATGCCTGGAAAATAAAAAATTTTTTCTCCTTAAATTGAGTGAGAAGACTGTAAACTATTTATTAGCTAGTGCGTAATCTTTTTCTTTTAAATTCACTTTACTGAGTTAACATTATTATAATCCTCTTTCTTTTATTTTAGTTGGTTAAAAGAAAATCTAAGAAAAAATTCATAAGTTCCTCAGGTAAATTTTACTTTTAATTTCGCAATTATATTCCTGTTCTTTGCGGTCCTGAGATTCTTCCTCGATTCTGCAATTTCCAGTTTTTTTTATTATAATTTTCTCTTCTTGTTTTTCCTTAAATTTTCATAATACATATATATTTGAGAATGTTGAATAATTCTAAACATTCTGCATTGTACACTTATCTATGTTAACTAAACAAAGTCAATTTTAAGTGCATCAAATGATAAAGATTAATTGTTAACGGCTGGCGATTTGGAATTTTTCAACACAGTTTTTTAAGGGATGATTCACTAATTATTTTGCGTAAAATTATATATTTGCATAAATTATATTTTGTAAGCGGTAAGTTTCTATGGTTCCTCTAGTTTTTCTGAATTTTTTTTCATTTTTTTTAAAGATTTTTTAAAAAATAGCTAAACAAGCTCACTTTTGAAAAATCTGCAAAAAAAAAATAATTGAAATCAAATTTTAAACCTTAGGTTAAAAAAAGTTTTAAAGTGAGGTGCTTGCTGTTTAGAATTTTTGAACATAGCATTCTTAAGAAATCATTCACTAATTAATTTTTCAAATGTTATATTTTGAGCAAAGTAAGCTGCAGTTTTTATTACCCTCTTTTTTCTAAAGTTTGATTTTTTTATAATAATTCTGAATAAGTGATAATGTAATCAAACATTTTCTTTCACAGACCATTCAAAATGTATAAAAAAATAATTGAAATCAGTGGTAAAACATCAGATTAATAAAAATTAAGATAATTGTGGACAATTAGGAATTTTTCAACATGAATTTTTATAGAATTGCCCATTAAACTAATTAATTTTTGTAATGTTATATATTGTATCAATGAAACAGAAGTTCCTATGCTCAATTATGTTAACTGAGACTTTTGTGTTCATATTAATAGTTTTAATTTTTCATGGAAATTTAATTTTAATTGATTAATACTTAGTTACAAGCGTTCTAAGATAATTTTTAAAAAAAATTAAATAACTTTTTCATCTATTATGTACCAGCAATTTTTTATACTCAGATCATAGAAATTTTTATTTTAACCTTCCAATTTTTAAATTCCTTACTAGTACTTGTTTTCCATTTGTAGTCTTTAGAAACATTTTATTTTCTATAGAAAATTAAAATTTCATAGAGCGAAATTTTATTTTGTGAATTCAGACATCACTTTACCAAAAAAACTTTTTGATATTGAGTCTTTATATGCATGTTAAGTGGAATTGAAAAGTAATATGTAATCATACTAAAGTTGTTTTTTGTTTTTTTGTCATTTTAGCATGTTTAAAGGAAAAAATTGGTATTTTTTAATTGTTTATCGAATTTATTAATTAATAAAGGTTTTGACACAATACTTTTAGATGGTTTAGTTACTTTTAATTTGGGTTGAAAATATTATGTGACCTTTTGTTTTTAGAAATAAACTGTTTAAAAGAAAAATTAGAAGTAAAAGCAATTTTTCTATGGCCTTGAACTTGCTACTATTCTAATTAATGGTGCAAAAGATAATGATTCACTAGATTATGGATATCCAGGCGTATATAATTATGTAGTCCATTTTGGTTTACTATTTTTGGTATACCACAATTTTTTTACTCCAACTGTTTAATGTCATATTTTTCAAAAAGGTGTTTTTGGTCATTAAGAAAAATAAAAAGTGGTGCCAAAATACTTCAAGATTTTCGTACAAAACAAAAGCAGTTTCCTAACTTCATTTTTTTTTCATAATGTTAATTGTCATACTTTTCAATATTAAAAGAATCAAGAACTGTTTTTTTTTTTTTTTTTTTTTTTTTTTTTTTTTTTTTTTTTTTTTTTTTTTNTTTTTTTTTTTTTTTTTTTTAATTGAGTTTAGAACAGATTGAGATTTCATGGTATATATACATTAAAAAAAGAAGAAAGAAAATTGGAATATTTTAGCTTAACACCACTTTTTATTTTATTAATAGCCAAAAAAAAAAACTATGGTTTTTTTTCCTTGCTGAAAAGTATAGCATTTAACATTACATGAAAAATATTGAAGTCAAAGAAAATATTGAGATTACTATTAAAAAAAACTTGAATTATGTTAGGTAAAAACCACTTTTTATTCTTTTAAAGGCGAAAATACCAAAAATGCTCTCTCTTTTTTTCTTTTTTTTTTAAAGAAAAATAAAGATTGAAAAATATAACTTTTAACAAATTGAGAAGAAAATATGGCTTCTAGTTTGTTTTTGTGCTATAAAAATTTTGAAGTATTTTGACTAAAATTTTGAAAAATATGACATTTAACATTACGAGGAAATAATTGAGGTTGAGGCACTTTTTGGGGGGAAGGCTATAAAAGAAGGCCACTTATTATTATTTTTTAAATGACCGAAAACAAAAAAACACCCTCTTGATTTTTTGTTATTTTTTATGTTAAGATTATGAAAAAAGAAATTTGGGTGGTGAAAGTTGTTACTTTCCGGTAAAAATTATTGAAATTTGCCGAAAAAAATAGATAAATAAATCGAATTTTTAAAATATTATATTTATATTTTTATAACCTTATATATATAAATATATATTCTTAGTATATTATAAATAGTATTATTATATTCTAAATATTATAGAGGATTTAGATTTAAGACTACAGAAAGAAAATTACTACATGCTTTTATAGAAAACAATTTTGCCGTATGGGCTAAACGATACCTTCCAACATACACAGATTAACATACTCATCAACTTATTCACTTTTTCATATTAAAGATAAGCGTACAAATCGAGGTAAACGGGGTTCAAGAAGTAATAGAAACTCTCTTAATAGTGACAAATTAAATATAAATTTTCTTTCCTAATAAAGAAAAGGACTTTAATAAACAATATAGCATTAAACTAATTAAAGATTTTGTCTTCTCCCTTAAGAATTATGAAGTATATAAGTTCTACGATCTTATTATTAACTTTTCTTTCATTAATTTACATTTCAAAATTCTTTGTTTCGATCTTATAAGAGCCAAAATGAGCAAAATTTCGCCTAATAAAAAGAAAAGTTTAGATAATTTATATTTCGTTATTAACTTTCAAAATCCTATTTTCGATAAGATCAAATTTCACAACATTTTTGAAAATTTTAAAGTTTTATTTCCATTAAAAGATTTTAACATAATTAAAAGTTTTAAATATAACAAATCTCTTGGTAGAACCCAGGGTTGGCAGGTTTTTGACATGTGACAGTTTTTGACAGTTTAAACCATGGTTTAAACCGTCACGTCAAAAACCTCACTGTCAAAAATGTCGAAAATGTCAAAAACCTATATTCATATGTGAAATTTAATTAATACATAAAATTTATATATTTTTTA